GGAGAGACTGGTGAGGGGCAGGAATGTTTTTACTGTCCTGGTATCATGGCCCTGAACATAATTTCACATTGGCTTGAAGCAGCAATTGCTGGATGAATACGAAGTAGTGTGACATCAGCATGAGGAAAGAAATAGGTCCGGTGCCTCTTTACTACAGGGATAGGCAGTAATTGCACAGTACGTTGGTTTTCTTAAGAAACAAATGATGCACACCCCATTTTCCCAATGACTGTTTACCTTCACCCGATGACACTGCACTATCCCATTGCGGAGAAGTAACAGCCTCACCGCAGCTCAGCCTTCCCGGTCTCTGCTGCCACGGCTTATGCAGCTGCGGGTTTAGGGTCGCATCGCAACACTTCTTCATCGGTAGAGTGTGTCTTCTGCCATCCCTAATTTGCAGTGGAGTCCATGGGACCAGGTACAGAATCACCTGCTTTCCATCCATTTTAGCAATGAGGAAGTATCAAAAGGAAGTAATTTGTGTCACAGGAATTTATCAGTCTTTCCTGTTTTGTATTCTTTGCTAAGACGAGGGTGAAGCCTCCATGAACGGTTTCGTGGAAACAAGCGTGAGGAAAGAGGAAGTGTTTAGTGCCACATCTCCCAGAGAGCGAGGGAAAAGCATCCTTTCCCTGCAAAGGGGCTAGGAAAGCCTCGCTAAACACCTTCGCTCTTCCCAGCCTCCCGCTGGGAGGTTGAGGGCTGGTGAAACTTTTTTACCCAGTCCTATTTAATGTGTATGGAAACCTGTGGGCAGGAAAAAGAACCGAGTCTGAAATCAAATGAACTTTGGTATTTTATATAAAGTCCTCTGGGATGAGTCGTCTTCTTTCTTCCTCCCTCCTCCTTTGCTGCTGCAGAAGGGTAATTACAACCCATGTTTTCTACAAAACGTTGTAACCCTTTGTACCGAAGAAAAATATTGTGGCTCATACAGTTCTGACTCAACTGGTAATTTAGGATGACAGCAATTCCTTTAACATATGACTAAACAAGCTAATAGGAGGATGTTACCAAATAGCATGCACCTTATTCAAGAGCACTTGAAATAGCATGCATGAGTCTAATATCTTCTTGGTAGGATATTAAATACCTATTATTTTATTAGGCTTGTGAGCAATAGCTCTTGTAGTGAGGCTCAGTGCACTTGACCATTGCAGGATGTCAAAGCAAATCTCTTTGTTCCCACTCACAACTCTCTCTTGTGTGACTGAAATGCACCACTAGAATAAAATGATTAAAGTATCTTTGCATAAAGAGCAGAGGCAGATGCAAATGCATATGTTGATGAAGAAGCTATAACAGATGTCCCTCTGCTCTAAGCTAGCTGGAATGAAAACCACCTGAATTTTCATGATGTCTCATTGACTAATTACTTCTAAATGCTTTTCCAAGTCTCGTCTTCACGGAAAAAACTTTTATTTTCCTCCAGCTCATGAAGCAGGCCTGTAATGATAGGCTCAACACAGTTTTTTCCCTATTTTGAAGTCCTCTGTCCTAATAGCATGCTGCAACCCAGGGTACAGATGGGACAAATGCACCTGGGGCAAGAGCCTACAGAGGCCCAAGCCAGGGATGTAATGATGGGACACAAGGTGTGAGCTTCTGTGACTGAGCAGGCAGAGTGGGGCCCATTTTGTGCCACGTCTGAGAACTGGGAGAAGGCTGGCCAGGTAGTGGAAAGGCAACCAACATCGCTCGAAGCCCAGCCTCTGCCTCTGTGAACTTGTTCTTTGAAATTTCCTTCTCTAGCGACCATGTGGAGGAATTACGGAGAGAAATGCACAGCGGAAAGAAGGAGGGATACGGGAACAATATTCTATGTAAGAAATGCAAAATAAGAAAACTGTTCTAGAAAACAAATACATGTAAGGGCCAGACTCATTTATAAGACTTAAACTGCACTTAACTGTCAGTGTCTGACATTTCTTGTTGGCTAGCTCTAAGCCTCCTCAAATCAATGAGAAACACTAAGCCAGGAAATTAGCCTGAATTTAGGCCAGAGGAATATGAGTCACAGCAAATCAAAAGAGCCATAGGACTGGGAAAGTGCCACACCATCAGAAGCTGAGGCATTGGAGAGCAAAACCAACCAGTATGAGGAAGTCCAGGAAAAAAAGAGACTCATAAAAAAGGATGGTCACCCATGCTGTGTTTCTAGTGACCGGTAGGAAGCAGCTATATACATTCTCTGCTCTGTGACAGCCATCTCAAGAGCCTTTGGACAGACTGGAAACAGTCTCGTGGTGAGGCACAGCCTTTGATGCTGGTACACACGGACATTTTCAATCAGATTCAAAGAGGGAGAAATTGATGCTGTATGGAGATATACATGAATACATGCCTAACCACTTATTTGTGCCCAAACAAACTTTTTCTCTATGGGAATATACAAGGAGTCCATTGCTATGGGGGTAACTGTTCTGGCAACTGCTGGGTATTTCTGTTATCAGCTGGAGAAGGGCCAGCTGGTGCTCTGATTGTCCCCGAGATTGGTACACACATATGCCAATCAAGGTCGAGTTGAGCCTAGATGATGTGCTGGGCTTGCATATGCAAGACAAACCAGCTTCAAAAGCCAAAGCCAAACCGTGGAGTGATGTGTGTTGTGTGTGAACATCCAGCCACCTCTGAGTCCCCAAACCAGGTAGCCGCTTTACAGCCAGCCTATCTGAAAATGGCTTTTGGCACATGTCCGGGGGGAAACGTAAACTCAGGTTTTAGAAATTTTACCTGATCTGTCTCCACACACTCATGTGGGTTGTGCTTTTTGTTTTCCACGTGATCAGGAGCATGTCAGACACAAGTCTGTCACAGGGTAGTCAGATCCTTCATGTGAGGTCTCTCAGCTCCTCACTGAACTTGACTGGAAGGCTGAGGTTAGTACATAGTTAATAAATAAGGAGAGGATGCAGCAAGTTGATGCATCTTCAGAAGCAATTTTGCAGAGACTGTGAAGGCTGAAACGAGAGAGGTTTGTTTCAGCTTAGTCTACTGGTTTCTCCCATGACAGAGCTGGAAAGGGGGCTATGAGAGTTTGCCGCAGTGCTCCTCTTCGGCCGGAGTTGAGGCCAGGGGGTTGAGAGTCAGCAGGTAGGCAGAGATGCTGACTGAGTGTCACAGGTTAGAGCTGGGATCAAGGAGAACCGTGAAGGACTCTACCCCAGACAGAACATTTGCAGTGTCTCTACTGAGAAGAGCAAGAAAACACAGCTGGAATTGCTGATCCCCAAGAGGAAAACCGAGGAAGGAAATGTCGGAAATAGTTCTTTGCATGTGAGTCTCTTGGAAGAGCTGAAAAATACTTAGCTCCCTGACTTGCAGCAGAATGGCTGAGAGCAATCTCTCCTGCCCTGGGGCGCTGCTCAGGGAGCTCTGCCTTCCTCCAGCACCAGTGCTGTTGTGTTTCTGGTCAAAGTCTTGTGGCCTTCAGACTAAAAGCGTTCAGTGGTATGAAAATCAAGCTGAGTTCATTTCAGCCAAAGTCTAAAATGGATAATGAGAAAACAGTCCTGAATGCTTCTTCATTTATTTTTCACTTTAGGGACCACAGATACCCCACAGCCACTGATCTCCTTCAGGCTGGAAGGGCCCTATTCCAGCAGCCACTCAAGTCGTCTCAGAACCTGTAAGAGTTTATTTTTTCCCTTAAAATCCCAACAGCTCCTTTCTTTATTACTACACAAGGATTTTGGCTTTTGTTTAAAAACACACGGCCTTTGTGTCAGTAAAAGAAAGCCTAAAGGTGCCAACACTATAAGTTTAAAAGCCAGTAATCCTTTTATTTTCTCAGTCTTCAATACTTGGCACTGGTGACAATGACAACATCCGCTAGTGAAAGACCCGTGCAAGTGAGGTACTGCGTAAGGTTAAGCTGCCCATCTATACAACGTGAATGGTCTTTTTCAAAAGAGTAATTTTACAGAACAGGGGAGGAGAGACTCTGTAGTTCTGTAGGCACCAGAAGAGTGTGACCTGGCTCGCTTTCTGGGATGGGATCATCTACAAGAGGATCTGGTGTAGATGCCCTGCTGTCTTAACAAGCTGCACGCTCATACGCACCGAGCACTTCAAGGCTCTCTATCCTTGCTGCCTCCTCTCACTTGCAGAAACTCAATCGAATTGAATTCCTATTCCTCTTTTAAACTTGCCAGGACTAATCGTATAACCCTTCTTTCAGTAAGAAACCGGACTTCGACGTCCCCAGCTGGTTTCCGAACAAGAAACTGAAACAAATCTGAGCTGCTGTCTCCCCCCAGTGTCAGCACATTATCTTGTTTAAGGCTGCAACTGTGGCACATGGGATGCCCAAGGGTAAAAAACACCTGCTCTAACCTATCCGGTGATAGCATAGATCAAAACTCTACCCTGGCATGTCAGAGAACAGATAGTGGTTCAGGTTTGGGAATGGATAAGATGTCTTCTTGTTTTGGAAACTCCAGGACATCAGCCTGCTGCGACACCCATCACAAGCTCTAGGGGTTATCTATGCTGTGGCGCTACTTCGAAGTTAAGGAAAAAAGCAGCCAGGTTGGACCAGGTTTGAAGTCTCACACGTACAAAGAGGTTTTCTGATTTGGCTGTAGAGGCAAAAAGGTGGTGATGTGGGGGACTTCTGAGGAGACTCCTCACAGCTGCTTTCTCCCCCGCTCAAGCCAGGGACAAAAAAGAGGCTCCTTGTGTTAATTCCCTTCTTGCACATGTTTGGCAAGGTAGGGCTCCCAGATTTTAATGCCAGTCTTGATTGCTTTGGGTGCTAAATGGTGCCCAATTGCTTTGATGCTAAATGACTTGCTTTAAAGGGAGATTGTGTACCTTTGATTCTGCTTACAGATCAACTGTATTGAAGTGGAGAATACCTCTGCTTTCAGTTTAAAAAACAAAAAAAGCTCATTATTACTATTGGTCTAGAAAAATCTACTCTCGGTTGAGAGTCTAAAAAAATCTAGATTGGGGCCAATATTCAAAGGCAACCGGTGACTGCATGGGGCCAAGACATTGCTTAGTTTTGAAGCTGGTGGACACTGCACAAGCCTGACAATTTCCTGTTGAGGTTTGGGCGTGTGGCTTAGCTAAGTACCTTGGTGTGTTTCCCTCAATAGCTGTTTAATGGAGGTGGTTAGCAGAGTCTGTTCTCACTGAACGCTGAGAGCCATTTAATTAAATTACCATTCAATTCCACCTTTGCATAGACAGGTGACTGCTGAGACCGTAGAGAGAAACTGCTGTTTTACAATGGCACTACGAATTCCCTAGCCTGGCAGTCCTGAGGCTGCCGTAGCAAGGATATCGCTCTATCCTGGGAATGGGCTTCTGCAATACTTCTATTCCACAGTCACCGAGGTGACCGCATGAACAGCGGGATTTTAAAAACCACTGCAGTTCCTGGTGAGTAACTCCACCGCAGCGAGAGCTCTCTGAGCATCAGCTGTATCAGCTGCACACAAACTTAGATAACGCCTGCGAGATGGACACTGCAGCAGCGTGCGCCGGTGTGACCACAGCAGGCACCTCGGCCTGCATCAGCTGCACACAAACTTAGATAACGCCTGCGAGATGGACACTGCAGCAGCGTGCGCCGGTGTGACCACAGCAGGCACCTCGGCCTGCAGCCGCAGGGAGAGGGCAGGAGCGAGCCATCCCAGAGGCCTCCCGCATCCTGCTGGGCTACCAAACCTTCTCCAAGGGCCCTTCGCTTCTCCTCTTCCCTCCTCTCCCCTGTCAGATTTCAGCTTCACCTTAACTTCCAGAAGATACAAGGATCTAGGAAGTGCTTTATAATGGAAACGTGAAGGCAAACGTACCTGTCGGCACTGCTACACATGCCTAAGCCTTTATTTCTGTGGGGAAAAAAAAAAATCTGCTCTGTTGATTAACCTACTGTGACCGAGTTAGCTTATTCTCCAGGATTTGGTGTTATTGCACATGCAGGAACAGCTAGTAATGGTAATGAAAACCTCCTCTGCTTCATAGGCCAAGTAGTAAATACTTGGCCATAGAGAGAGCCATACACAGCTCTCAGATACAGTGCAGAGCAAAATAATGTAACAAACCTTCTAGCATGAAACTTCCTCAAAGGTTTTCATACTGATACTATGATTTGCTTTACTCTAAGGAAGCCCTAGGTATGGAAAGTGGTTTGAGAAAGACCTGCCCGGAAAAGCTCCTCTCCTGCATTTGTTCATCTGGATTCAATAAAGTGCCCACAAGTTTCAGATTTACACCCCTACCGGAAGCAGTTGCTCTGAAGAAGCCCAGTTGCACAGAGCCCTCCCCATTTCCTTCTGTCTGTCCATGAACCTTGTACACACCCATGATGGATTCAGAGTGTTTTTCTCTTTAAAACCAGCTACCTCCCTGCAGCTAATCTTTAAAAACTGCCTCCCCTGCAGCTCTAACTGAAACATTTGAGTAAGCAGCAACCAAGGCCATTACGTGGTTGTTTGTTTTTTGTTTTTTGTTTTTTTTTTTTTACAAAGGATTTTTTATTGCATAAATAGAGGCTTAGATATTTTGCTGTACATATAAAAAGTTGAGATACAGTTTAAGCGAATGTTACTCTTGAGGGTTTTATTCCTTTGACACATCCTTCATCTACAGGAAGGCTCCGTTCTCCCAGGAAAGGAATCCGATGCAAGCTGCCAAGTGACAGAAAATCTGCAGGGTGGGAAAACAGCAGTGAGAACAGCAGGCGTGATATGCTGGCAGCACATGGGCTAAATCTGCCTGCCCACGTGGCACGCTGCAATCGGAGCTCATCGCAGCTCTGCGGTGCTGACACTGGAGAGCATTTTCAGGGCAGGAGAATTCACCCCTTCTCGCAATCCCGTTATAGAAAGACGGCTGACAGTCTGAGAGATGGCAGAATTTAGGAAGGACTGGGCCTCTGGTGGGCAACACTGGGTGACTGGGCAACTAAGGTATTTTCTGCGAAATCAGAGATGCTTTAATGCCAGTCATTCAACAAGGTCAACGTCACATGCGGGACACAGAGGCCTTGCAGGATAAGCTCGTTACCCTGGCGTAGCAATCCCTTGGGCTACGGACTCTGCCAGGCAGAACCCCCTGGGACCCAACGCCGCACACACAGCACGGTATGGTCTGCTCATTACAAGTGGCAGGCTCGCTCACTTGCAGGGCAGCCCATCTCTCCTTTGTTTAGCGATAAAACTCCATTTAACTTACTCTTGTCTGACTTATTCTGCAAAAAAGGAAAGAAGTGTTCTCACAGCATTTTCCAGTGGCTAGCTAAACCGATTTAAAATAAGAGTTTAAAATGGCACAAGTCTGCCCAGAGGCAAGTCCTCAATCTGATGTAAACAGGAGCCTGAAAAACACCTTTGTTTTTGTTGGTTTTCCTATGCGAATAAACCACTTCATTCCCATGGTTATTTCCAGGGCCCCATTTCTAGTCACAATTTCCAAAGCCTGTTGCACAAAATAAAACAGTGATAGGTTTGAAATCAAAACTAGTAAACATATCTAAAAACTGAAACTCTCTTCATATGTGAGGTGATGACCTCAAAAGGGGAAAGTAAGGTTTTTTAGTTTAATAAAGAGTGACATTACATCAAACTCCCACAGAGCTTACAAAGGGCAGGCAGGAATAGAATTCCCATTTTGCTGCAGAACAGAGAGATGTGAAACAAACTGATACAAAAATCACATACCAAACAAGTCAGGGAATATAATCTTAGCACTAGTCAGCACTCATTTCGTTAATGGACTTGATCCAATACGGCAATGATTGCTTAAACTTTGAAAACAGCGGGAAGGAATTCAGCACAGAGGGAATGAAAACAGAAAACCTCGAGAAATTTTGTAATGTTCATTTTGCTCTTTTCTGCAGAAAGATGTCCATTTTTCTCAGGGAAGTATATATAGTGGATGTTACATAGCATAACCTGTAGCATTTCTGTTACCTTGGGAAGCTCCACGGCATGAGATTTGGCGCTTCCAGCTAAACTATCTACAGCTTGTCATGTGTTTAACTAATATGGAATGGCTGATTCTTTTCCATCTTAATTATGTGATTTAAGGCCAAGAGGTCTGACTGCATCATCCTGTCCGTCATGCCTCTCGTGCGCTTTCTGCCAATTTAACCATCTCTTTACATATCAGGATTTCCTGTGCAATTGGCTGGGCATAAAAATTCAGGGAGATTAAAAGCAGAGAAGGAATACCGTGCTAAGATCTCTTAAATCACGAAACATGGCTGCCAAGTTTTCTGGTGGCAACTGCAGCTCTTACAAAGAATGGGCATGATATGGGTGTGCAAATAAGCTGAAGCATCGCAGGAAACAAATATTACAAGAACTCAGATAATGGTGATAGTTCTAACTGCACAATCCAAATGTATCAAAGCCAAAACATAATGGGTTTAATATGTCAATGCCATTATCGAACACCAGGATGTTGAATAAATTCTGTACCTGAGACTCTTCAATCATCCTTCTTCCCTACTTCTGTTTTAAATTTCTCTTCACGTTCCCTCTTTAGTTTTTCTTCAATTTTTTTGCTCTGGTACATTTTTACTCCAGCAAATGCTAAGCAAAGAATCAATGTTTTAGCGGCCAAAATGTACATCAGCAATGGGAAATTCTCCAAAGCCTGAAATGCAAAACAATATATTTACGCAGTTACTGGAACACCTGGACAATTAAAAATGAATCTACAGGGATGCTATACCACGTCCTACAGCAACAGCATTATTCAAAGCAACAGTAATGCTCCTCTGTTCATGCTTTTTTTTCCTGTAGGAAACTTTAAACTAGGCAGATCAACGTCTAGGGGAAAGGACAGAAACAAGTTCACTTCACTCAAGTTTGTATATGAAGCCCCTTTGAACAGGTCTTTGTTGCTTTTGCTTGCTTTACAGCAAATGGAATATTGGCAAGATCTAGAGCTGAAAAAGGGGAAGAACTGAGTATCTCAGGTAAAGGTGGAAATCCTTCTGAACTCTCACATGAGTGATGAATCCGTGCATGTCAGCTCTCAGATGTGATCCCCAAAGACACTTTTGTGCTCCTAGAAATTTTAATCCATAGTAGTTTTGCAATTAACTTGCCCAGATCTGTAAGGTATAGATAGAGGCCTTCAAACTGGAAGAAAAGTAAAAAAACCCACAGCCTCCAACGATTCAGTTTCGGGAGTTTTTAATGCCTGGAACCACCAAAATCGCACAACATATTTCAATGTTATAAAAGCATGCTACTGTAAGTGTACATGGAGTGGAAAATAAAATGCAAATGGGTAACACTGTGAACTCAGAATACAAATATAACAAGAGCAGCTCAGGCACTCAGTGAAAGATGTCAATTCCAGAAGGATATTGAAGGTGCATGAACTTCCCAGCACATTGTTTCAAAGAGCCACCTGGCCAGCAAGATCGGTCCGGTGGTGCACAGTAGGTTCACAGTGCCAGCTCCCCCTTAGCGAGCCTCCCAGTACCCCCCTGTACCCTTAGCAGGCCTTCCAGCACCTCATAAAGCTGTTTGGCCATTGTCAAAGTAATAAATTTAGAAAAAGTCTTGTATCCATACACCATTAGTGTGTCCCCTTAAAGTCCACAGATCAGAGGCTCAGGTGGGGTCTTTTAGAACGCTGATCTCTACAAGCTGCACGTTACCTTTGACATCAGGCCACTCCCCTCGAATTTTGCAAAAAACCATCATCCTCTGTCAATCTCCCCACATATTAAAAGTGGCAACCTCTTTAAACCACAGCTCTGCAACACCAGCAAAGCCAAGCCAAGGCTTGGGGTTAGCATTGCTTTCTTGATAAATGGTTTGATTTAACATGTTAAAATCGTTAATGCATGAGGTACTTGCTCAAACATGTTTATGGCCCCAATATGCTAAAAGACATAGTGGAGAAAATACCCTCCAGTAACAAAAGAAGCTGAGGAAAGAGCAGCCGGAGAAAAGCCCTGAAAGAGGAAAGCCAGAAAGAGGAGCAGAGGCAAGCAGAGCAGAGCTTACCTACCAGCGCTGCGCTCAGGTCTAAAGTGTGAGGCCCCAACAGCAAGTACTAGGGCCAGCCCACAAGGTGCAAGCATGTATGGCAAGAAAGGACAACAACGAGTCCTCTGTCCCTGAGGTGCAGAGTGTGGTTGTTAAACAACCTTCACCTAGGCAAGGAAACCATCTTTAAACACAGGACCCACCCAACCACATCTTACACGCATCTGCTTGAAAGAGCTGAAGTTCACTGCTTTATGAATGTGAAACATCCTCACCTTCCAGTTAAATGCCACCATCTTGGCTGTGTGATGATATTGTCCGTCCCGCAGCAGGCTGCTCCCAGCACCGATGAGCGTCACGCTTCTAAAGGCACAGACCGGGGCAGGAGTATCTTGAAGAAATGGAAAGTAAAAGAGAATTAGCCAATCTGTTTCTACTCAGCATGTCCACCCTGCACCTCTCCGACAAGCTCATCTGCTGCACGGTGCCTGGCAGCGTACCAGTGCCACACGGTTCAGGAATGACCTACATGGGCCTTTTTGGAGCTGAGTGACAGGAGCAACGTCTGTGCTGCTGAAGGACAGGGGTTTGACAGGCCCCAGGCAGGTGCCACACTTGCACAGAGCGGAGGCTGCACTTCCACCGTGCACAGAACATCCCAGCAGCTGCCCAACCAAAACCACAATGCTGGCTGCTTTTGAAAGCTTGACACGTGTGCACATCACACCGCCTCACTGATGTTTGAGAAGTAATGGACAGAAGTGCAACCAGAAGAGCTGCCCTGTTCGGAGCCCAAATGCCTAATGAATCCTAGTATCTAATATCATTTACCAGTTCTCTCCGATTTACTAATAAATTAAATTCTCCACGCAGCCCATAATAACACAGAAGCAAACCAACCACTCACTGAATCTCTTGAGAGGTCAACATACGTTTCAGAGCTGAACTCTGGGGCTGAGAAATGCCCTAGGGGATACTGAAGGCTGCAGCACACAGCCACAACACTGCCCTCTGGTCTCTGCTTGCTGCTCCACCAGCGCTAACACCGTTTCAGCTGCTGGATTTCAAATTAAGCACGTTCCCCTGCCTGACCCCCTCAAGGCGTTTCCTGTACGTGTAACAGAGTCACCGTCAAAAAGCAGGAGGAAGCCCTACAGCTTAGTCCAAACCTTCACCAGCAGCTGGACTGAATAAATCACCACCACGCCACAATAGCTGCTGCTGACCTTTCTTCGGAAACAGGGAGTCAAGTAAATGCTCTTGCAGCTCCTGCACTGCTCAGCCAGCTTCTTCACAGATGCCCTTATTTCTCCAGCTAGGGCATCCTCTTCTCCCCTCTTCCCCCAGATGCAAAATCCTCACCCTGCAGAGACCACCCTGGAAACGTCCCCATGGAAAGACATCGCTGGAGATCTCCGTTACCGAGATCGAACTATACCGAAGCAGCGGCGTGGCCAACTCGTTTGTCATTTAGTATTTACTGTGTTGATCCTGAGTTGTGCAGCTCCCTTCTCCTGTTGATAAAATGTCAGGGCAGCTGTGAACTAATAAGTCAGTAGTACCTCACCTCCAAAAAAAAGGCATTTTTAACTTCCGATGTTTCCTCCAGAATTTCAGCAACCACTGAGATTTGAAGTCCCCTGCCAGATGGTCACAGCAAAAATCCCACATCAGAGCAGAATCTCATTCTCAGTGCACAGTTCAGATGGCTACAGGCTTCTCAATGAAACCCAAGTTACACAAGTCTGGCCTGATCTGAAGGGACTGCACTGCCCAACTGGGCTGTTCTCATCTCAAAATGCTGACTTGGGTGGGGGCTTCATCAGACAGAGTCTTCACTCTTCTCCTAAATTGCTGTAAATTCTGTGCTTCAGTCAGAATCAATTTTGCAAGATATTGTAAAAAGGCAAGAATTCAGCCATTCAAAGACAGGCTAGCATCTGGCATATGATGCTGAAAATGGGGCTTTAGTGATTTTTTGTATACAGAAAAAGTTTTAGACTCAGCAAACGTTATGCGAGCCCATCTGTGGGGTCTGATTGCAGGGTACTGTCCCACCAGCAAGAAGCAGCGTATCACGTGTATCACAGTGTGCACTCCTGCGAGTGCTCTTGGTTGTGAGTTGATTATTTAGGCATTCAGCGCAATGCTTCTGTAATATTTCCGCTCTGCTGAGACATAAGCCTGAATCTGCCTCAATTGTGTATCCACCAGGAGTAGCTGCACTGAAGTCACAAAGGACAGGAAGTAAAGAAATTCTCCCTTTGTTCTGAAGAGTGGTGTTTTGATCCAAAATGTTTCCTGTGAGAGCTGACACTTTTGATGGTCTGTCCTCACAGTGTCTTCTGTGGTTGGAACTGAGTGGGGAAGCCACCGCTCTCTCCATGTGGCATTCCCACATGCTGTGCCACCAGCCTCTGGTGGTCAAGCACGTCTCCCCATTTCACTTCTTGACTCTTCCAGTCTCCATTTTGATCCAGACCTTATTAAATACAGCTGAAACCCCAGGACAGAAAAAAAATGGGTGGAGCTGGGGCACGGGACAGGGAGAAGAAAGTGGGAAAAGGAGAGAAAAAGGCAGGATTCATTTCACATTTGAAAAAAACAATTTGTTAGCACTGAGGTCATCAGTTCAAAAGCAAAAGGCTCAGACACTGTACTTTCAAGGTTGTGATATCTTAAAAGCGTGCAGGCAACTGAACAGCTCAAGTTTCATGTTTGCCTTTTCAGAGGCAGATAAGGCACAGATAGGGGTTCAGAATACATACACAGTCAGGCATTGTTCGTTCCCCAGCAAAATGCAGGCTTCCCTAACAAACACAGTGCTACCGGGAACGGAGACTGGGCCCCACGGAAGGTCACTATTACCTTCACTCACAATAAGGAGGTCTCATGTTGAGCCACGTGAGAAAGAAACAGGAGCACTAGGCTCTGCCTGAAGCTCTGCCGGAGACTCCGTGACAGACGCTCCGTAAGGCTATCCATCACATGCTTGTAGACTCCTGTGCAGGGTAGGGACAAAATGCTATCACTCTCACACATATTGGTGGCCTTCTTCACCATGATTGCACCTCGCAATCACTAGCCGATTTACACTCGGACCTCCTCTGTGAAGCAGATCAAACTACTGCAGCTGGGAAAGGAAGAGAGAGTCTGCCCGTACCGCACACCTCAGCGCTGTACTAGCAGTCCTCTGTTAGCCCCAAATGCTGTGAGGTCTTCTGGGTCCAGAGCAGGCGGAGAGAGTCACCAACTCAGCCCTAGAGGCTCGTGTCCTCAGCAGGGCTAAAGAGCTCTCAGGGAGGGCTGCACCAAGTCCCAGAGCTAGACTTGAGCTGATACCAGCCCCAGGATGTCTGCACAACGCTGCGTTGTGCAACACAGACCACCCCAGACAAAGGAGGTGGGCCCCGGTCAGATGGGAAGTCTGTGGTAGAGCACAGAATTGAATCCAGGTCTCTCAGCCACTGAATTACAGCTCCAGTCCACCACAGCAACCACATCACTGCCCAGCCACCCACACCATTGTTTGCTTATGCAGCAGCAGAGTATTGACTGGCCTGCACGCACCAGAAAACGTCCACGCAGGCATCTGGGTGCTCACAAACCCACTTGAGTTGTCTTGGCTGAAAGTCTCAGTCAGCCTGCCAATAATTCCATCTACTCAACAAAATGGGACTCAAGATAACTCTTTTGTCTGCTGGGGATTTCTGAGCATCTCCATTTTATCCACTTTGTGAAAAGCTATAAAAGTCACTAGCCTCGGAAAGCAGCGAGCTACTAGGGTTATATGACTGCATTTAAAATGGAGTGATGGCTGAGTCTGTCCTGAGCTAGAAAAGGGGTTTCATTCCACCTGTCTCTTGTTACTGCTTCCTTTAATGCACATATTTCAGGAAGCAAAACGCATGCTTCCCACCTGGACAGTCACTGGAGGACTCACCACTACACGTGACCTGCTGCGTCATGCATCAAGCTTAGCATCTGCAAGACAAGCCTCCACAAAACAGAAGTCCTACTGGGTCATGGGAAAACACAGCAATATGGCAAAGCCCAAAGGCTGCAGAGAAACACAGTGGAAGCAACTGTGAGCCAGAGCTGCTGCACTAAGAATCCATCACAAACCACTGCCACAAGATGCAGCAGTTATATAAAGTCAGAAGCACTCACACCTGTGCACATTTACAGCCTATATGTGTAGGTAGGCCAAGACATCATTCCATAAAAAGACCTGTGTAATCACTCAGTTTATACTAGTGTCATTGAAATCATTAAGGTTGGAAGAGACCTCTAAGATCATCGAGTCCAACCGTCAACCCAACACCACCATGCCCACTAAACCATGTCCCTAAGCGCCTCATCTACCCGTCTTTTAAATACCTCCAGGGATGGGGACTCAACCACTTCCCTGGGCAGCCTGCTCCAATGTTTAACCACTCTTTCAGTAAAGAAATTTTTCCTCATGTCCAATCTAAACCTCCCCTGGCACAACTTGAGGCCATTTCCTCTTGTCCTATCACTTGTTACTTGGGAGAAGAGACCGACACCCACCTCGCTACAACCTCCTTTCAGGTAGTTGTAGAGAGCGATGAGGTCTCCCCTCAGCCTCCTTTTCTCCAGGCTAAACAACCCCAGTTCCCTCAGCCGCTCCTCATAAGACTTGTTCTCCAGACCCCTCACCAGCTTTGTTGCTCTTCTCTGGACATGCTCCAGCACCTCAATGTCTTTCTTGTAGTGAGGGGCCCAAAACTGAACACAGTATTCGAGGTGCGGCCTCACCCAGTGCCGAGTACAGGGGCACAATCACTTCCCTGCTCCTGAAAAAAGTGTCACTGATAAAGAAATTCCTATACTAACACCAACTCAAGGAACATCAAAAACATAAAGCCATACAAGATCTTCATACCTGAGGAAACACAAATGAAAATATTAGTGATTCCTCCGGCGGCTCCTCACATGCTCCAAACTCTGGAAAATAAGAACAGAGCAGATGGGATGTATCAATCATGGCGGCTGGATTAAAATCAAATCAACTCAATACCAAAAATGTCAGTAGCACATCAGACTGTTCCACTGTGCATCCCAGGGCATTATTTCAGCCACGTCCCAGGGTCCTTGCAAGCTGCAGGCCCTCGCTTGCTGCCACCACCTTGTCCTAGAAGGGTCTGCTGAGCTGGCGGCCCCCGCTGCCTCCATTCCGACCCCAGCTCTGCCCTGGTCACCTTTCCTGGTCCCTGCAGCACCAGTGCCCAGCACAGCCAGCAACCCACACGCACACTTGAGGAAACCAAACTTTTTCAGCAAATGATAACTTCAGATCCCTCTTTATTACTTCATTTTTTCTTAAGAAAACAACAAAGCTTGGCAGATTCATATGCAGTAAATCGAACCTCCAGGCAGCCATGCGTCATACCCCGCGGCAATACACCGGGAGACGGCCGAATCAGGCCTGCCTGCAGTTGATAGCCA